GGGTTCATTTGCACTTTAATCAACAGATTAGTCTTTACGTTGCCATCATCATGATTATAATCAGCGTCATCTTGTATAATTATCATCTCTTGTTTCTCTTACCTTCCTTTAGCTCAAAGGAGCGGTTCATTTGAGATGTTTTTCGTTCACGGCAAAGTGTCATAGGCAGGTCAATCTTGTAATCCAATGAAAACCATTCAGCTTCTTGTTTCTTGAGCGCAGCAGCCAATGGAATCAGGACATCTGCTACCGGGATGCCTTTAGCGCTATAACGATTGCGTCCGCAAACGCTTAAGTGAATCTGACACTCAGCCATGTTTAGTTTCTTTAACGATGAAGTTTTGTATGAGAGAGTTTCATCGATCCTTGCTGATGCTCGACAAACAGTGTCACGTGCGACAGTATGGAGCATGCATTCCACTGGAATGACAAAGAGAATGAATGAATATTAATCGAATGGTTTGAGGGAGTAGAATAAAATAACTGTTGTAAATATCGCGTTCTGATACAGCACGTGCGTGCCATACGAGAGCACGCAGCGTGCGCGCACACTAGAACACTCAAGAAAAACACTTCTCAGTTTTGCCAACACCACTTTAAAACTGCACAAAGCACATGCGCGCATTTTCTATTTCTAAAAGGCACAGGTCCTTGATTCACGGTTGAACTGTTGCTCGCAAAGTCGTAGTAGAGTAATCTTTGAAACAACGCAAATTTTTGGCGCAAAAAGACTTAATTTGTGAGCCGTTTGTGACGTAAATAATACTGCCAGCCAATCAAAAATCGGTTGTTATTGACTACGAAAATTATTCTGCACAATAACTGTTACTATCCAAAGTTGCGTGAAAAATTCTCACAAAGAGTTGTTTCATTATTGGTCACAATTCTCGCTAAAATCCCTCACCAGCGACGTTGCACAGAACAGCACTACAGGACGTATCTAAGTGTTTAGTTTTATTATTTTACCTTCATCTTTATTCTTCTTTGAGTTTAAATGAGGTCTCTTCTTCAGCACAGACCTGACCTTATCACTCATTTGCTTTCCAGACCCTATGCTCGACATGCTCAAGGTACTTGCCGTACTACTCTGGGAACTTTGAGAGCTGGCGCTACTACTACGAGAGGATGAGCCTTCTGACAACTCAATTCTAAGCTCGCTTGTTTTTCGCTTAGTTTCTTTGTATTTGTCAGGAAGGAGATAGCATTTTGCGTAGAGTGTTGTGAAGTTGTGAGCTAAATGAAGAAAAAAGATAAAGTTTATTATGAAATCTTTAAAATTTATAAAGYACATTAAAGCAGAAATAGAAAGCTATAGAAAAAGATGGAAATGCGGAAGACAATAAAAACGAGAAAACTAAATAGCTCAAAAGCTTGAAAGGCTATTATCTTAAAATATGTCAATTCATCTTTTCTTACCTGGTGGAAGTTTGATATCTCTGATGTCCAAAATATTAATTTTGAGTTCTGAGTATCGACTAAGGAAATCAAAAGACACTTGTATTTCGCCAGGGCCTGGCTGAATATTTTCATTATAATCTATAATACAAATTTAAGTTAATAATAGATAAGTATTTAGGTAAGGTATGGTTTTTATTACCCTCCACTCTGAATCCTCAGCCTATCCCCTCCCCCACATCTCACACCAGCAAAAACATACCTTTCCTTTAGACAATTTTAGATAATAAGGAATTGAAAGTAATAATACAYGCTAAATGTCAATGGTTATTTAATGAGTATTTACCTAATGATTCTGTATTGCTAATGGATCCATTGAGGTCTGTAGCACCTTGTTTATTCTGTGTATACATCTAGAAAAGATGAAGAATTGATGCCAATGTTAAATAAAATAGAGTCATCACTGTGAAATATCTTTGAACATCTTGCACTGTCATTTATTTACAATTTCAAGTACTAAATCTCYCTCCTTCTAGACACCTCAGAATTGGAATAAAAATTAATTAAACATAAAAACAAATGGGAATTTTTCATGCATGAAATTGTTACTTTACTTTCATATTTTGAGCAAGATAATTTTGAAGAAATAAGTAAAGAGTAGGTGGACCTCTTTGAATCTTTGTTCCAAAAACTCATTAATAATTCATGAAGGAAACACAMTAGAAATCATGACCATGAAGGTGATTTTATATCTGATAHADATTCGTCTTCATTTGCATAARCTTTAACTTGGATTTTCTGATAAAATCCTGATAGAACACTCCTGCTCGTTTATTAAACAGTACAAATTATCAAAAATGAATTTTGCTTTCATTAAAGCTTTTCAACTCAATAAGACTATTTTTTAATATGTAGATGATGGCTAGTAAACACTAGCGTGGACTGCGTCGATGTTTCTAATAAAACAGTTATCGTAGATTGATAAGTTTTACACGGTAGTGAAAATAGGAACTAAAGTTAAAGTTCCTATTTTCACTACGGTGTAAAACTTATCAATCTACGATAACTGTTTTCTTAATATGAATTGTTTTGACATAATCAAAGTTAAAGTAAAAAATTTACATTCCTTACCTTCTGTATAGAATGTGGTTTTCCAGGGGAAGTTCCACCCCTCATAAGAAGTTCAATACCTGTAAGATTGAAAGATAAAAATTTCAGAGGAACAATTGTCATAGCAAGTTTTTATAATCTGTGTAAAATACCTAGTTCAGATAAAAAGACAGACATGGAGCTTTTTTGAAGTAATTAAGATAACTTGTTTTGAACTGCATGACAGATATTTATGCAGTTGCTAAGCTTTTACTATAATAGATRTTGTAGCAACTGTTTTATTATCTTGACAACACGAAAACAACAGGAAATTTAAGAAAATATTAATTGAATTTTAAACAATAAGGTGCTTAAAACGTGGTCCTTTGGGAGTGTATTTAGTTATGAAATAAATGTTCATTAAAATTAGTCACTCAAGAACTTAGRAATAAATTTTTTTAGGGTTTTTAGCTCTTATCTTTCGATTCAAAAACAACATAAGCTTTAAAAAAATAAAAAAATAAWAAACATTAAACATTAAAATAAACATTTGTCTTAAAAATGAGTGCCAAGAACAGAACAGTAAATAAGATCACAAAACGTCAAGATTATTTACACTTAGTAAATAAACTAAATATCCAGCCTTGATTCTTAAGCCAAAATATTTAAAACATGATGATAAGGACTAAGATATTGAATCATGAACGCGATACCTTAAATACCAAAATAAGAGCGTGGTTCAAGAAACCTTAGAAGGCTTAATATATTTTGTTAATATYGATTTTATATATTTTCTACGCTGTTTTTTGACTAAGATTGATTGAGTAAAAGCTATCAATTACTTACGCTTTTTTTCTAAGAGCTCTTTACAAGAAGAGGAAGCAAGATGTTCTGGCGTCTTTCCCTCAACATTCTTTACTGAAATGTTAGCTCCACTGTCTAGAAGAACTTGAATTATCTTGGCATTGCCGTTAGCAGCAGCAATATGAAGAGCTGTGCTATTGTTAATGGTCTCTTGGAAGTTAGGATTCGCTCCTCTGCGTAGTAAAGCTAAGGTTATAGAAGAGCTACCACTAGAAACAGCCTCATGTAAGGCTGTCCACCTGTGTATTCCGGCTTCGTTCGGATCGCATCCTTCATTCAAAGCAGACCGAACCATAGATAGATCCCYCAAACGAATCCCAATTTGAAGTTGCGATTCTTCTTCATCCGTCTTGATCGTCATTTTGAATTCTTCCACTACTCGATCCTACAGCTAACTAACTAAATGAACTTGAAAAACTTACTTAGAGAATTTAATAAATAGAACTATTGTTCAAAAGAACTAGTGAAATATTAATTCACACAAAAATAGTGAAAACCCACGTGTTGTTTTGGTCGGCATAACAACAAGTAAATATTTACCTTTCTATTTTTCTATCCTAGGATTTTATTGGCTAATATTCGTTCTATTGTTACTTTTAAGCCAATAGAAACGCTTGTATTATGGTTTTCCCTGAGATTGACGTCACGCATATGTAATTAGGTACATCAGGACGAGGTTGGGATAAACTAACGTCTCCATAGCAACAAGGCAAAATGGCGGCCAGGATTTCATAGTTTGTGGATTTTTTCTTATTTTCTCTAGAATTTTTTCATGAAATAAAGGATTTTGGGAAAGATATACRATGGGAGATGCAAGCGCCACAAAAGATGATTACCTTAAGGCCTGTGCAGACGTTCAAAAGGAACCAAATGCAGAATTATTGGCCATTTTCAACACTGCTATAGATGACAGTTTCACGTAAGTTTTGTAATTTTTCTTAAGTTATAAGAAAAATTATTCTTTGCAAAATGTTCTGAATTTGCAACCTTCATAAATTTAATTTTTTGCCACATTTGGAATGCAAAGTTTTCAATTAATCTAGTTCGGATTTCTTTTTCAAAAGGCAGAGTAAGATTTGAGGCTTCAAGTTAGAAATTTCGAAAAATATTATAAGCCACAGTGAGAAAAAAATAGAGATAGCGAGAACAATAGTTACTGTGTTGTCAAAGAGATTCAGCTCCCTATTTTCAAATAAATAAAAACTTTGATCTCTAAGAGTAGAACACTTATATTCTAATTGTACCTTATGGCGTCATCAATTACAATATATGACGTTGGTTGCCTGGAGCTTTTAATGAACACATATGTTCAACCGTGTTTTTGTTTTATACACAATGGCATTGTTGAAATAATGTTAATTTAAAATAAATTTAATATGGCCATTCTTTCATTTATACAATTTTTTTTGCTGGATTTAAAACCATTGCATTAAACACAAAATGTGTCTGTCGTACTGTAGAAACATAGCTTGCTTTTCGGAAGCAAAATTTATCATGGGTAGCAATGATTCACACATTAAACTGGGAAAAATAATGAGGAAGAGTGCATATAGTAAACATGTTTCCTTGTTTAGCCAGCTGGGTTTAAGATTGAAAATATAGAACACTCAAAAACAATGCAGTAGATGATTTTATACTGTATACTGATTTGTACCTAATGAATGAGGACTAATTGTTGGCATTAAAAAAATGGTAGTTCTTCATTTGTTTATGTTCATTGTTTAGTTCCAAAAATTATCCCTACCCCCCTCACGGAGGAATTCTCTTAAGACACCCCCCTACCCCAAGAAATTGAAATTTTCTTCCATACAAATTCTGTAATTTTTGTGCTTTCTCTGACCCCCCCACTCTTCGGAAATTCCAAATTTTCTTCCATACAAATTCTGTAATTTTTGTGCTTTCTCTAACCCCCCTACTCTTCGGAAATTCCAAATTCCTCTGTGGGGTGGGTATGGATAATTTCTGGAACTACACATTATATAATTATACTTTGCAGGGAACCTTGTAATGAGTTCTATTTAAAACTCAATGGTAACAAACGAAATGAATGGAACGAGATGTATAGGAAACGATTAGTTGATGAGGTATGTTAATTTAAAGACATTGTGGTCATGAGTAGGCTTTGGTCTTTCATTTTTCAATATATGAAAACAGGTTCAATAAATACACCTACTTGCAAGAACGTTGTCATACGATATTAGAACATTAGGAATTTAGTGATGAGAAAGGAATACATTAGAAGACAAAAGAAAAAGTTCAGCTTCAGTGATCTTCTTTTGTTTTTTTAATATAATTCCTATCCCACTAAATCACTAATGCTCTATTTTCGTATGACAGTGTTCTTGCAAGTAGGTGTATTCATTTCCGGAATTCACTTCATTAGTGCCCACAGTGATGGCGCAATATGTTGAATTGATTGTGTTAGTTTATTTAAACAAACGCAATTTTACATTGCTGTAAACCATGAGTGGAGATCACCAGCATTCCAGAGGTTGCGTGATTGCATTAATGATAACTTCAACTGGAATAAGACTAACAAGTTGCAGTCAAATCTGAAAACTGAGATCATACGGTTTTCTTCAAGTTTGATAGTAAACAATAGATAAACTTACCTATCGCTTGGTACTAGCAGCTTATTTCTAGCACTTTGTTGTTCTTTCCAAAGGATGTGGATATCTTGTACAAGACACTGAAGCCAAACACATTTGTTGTCCTGTTAGACCTTGGATATAATAATATTGGAGATAAGGGAGCAATGATTTTGGATCAACTTTTACAGGTTTGCTATAAAAAATAACTATTTTAATCTTGAAACAGCTAATTATTATATTTATAGTGTCAACATCCACAAGATAAAACATATATTTCACCCAGGGTACATGTATGTTGCTTTAAAATGATTGTCGCTTTTTGTTTATGAACCAAGGAAACTCTAGTTCTACAAACCCTTGTTCTGAGTTATAACGACATTGGACCAGAAGGAGGAGAAGCTATCGCTAAGGGCCTGCAGGTGAGAGAACTAGTTGTAAATTGTATTATTCTCACAACTACGAATTGTCAGCAGAAGTGGATTCTGGGGTGGTTCCATGGCCTTGTGAGATCTTGTGAAGCAGATCATGTTCTTTATGCCCAGTATTATAAAAATGAAATATTGAAACCCACCTTGCAAAGCTAATCATGCCAGCTCTTTCYGTGTGGTGGCCATTTTGGAGCTCTCTTTTTAAAATCCTGGATCTGCTGCAGCATCTGCTTCCTGCTCATGCAACACACACACTCTCACAGTTGTGATCATAGGTTCAATCCTCAGACCCTCCAACACATGTCAGTAGAATGTGAATCGAAGTATTATGATCATCCGGGTGGATGTAGTCCTGCTGAGAAGGACTGTTTAATGTGATTGATGTTTTGACAACCTGAGCGGAAGTCATCTTCAGAGTCAAGTGAAGAATAAAGTCAGATTGGTCATATTTATACTACCACGATAACAATAGCCTAATTACCTGGATTAGTGTAATTGGTGGCATCGGTCTAATGCATGCGAGTCACTGTTTCAGTGTTGTGGGCAGTTTTCTCAGGACAGTACATCCACCCAGATGATCATAATACTTTGATTAACATTCATCCACCTGGGTTCAGACCATTTTATACAACACGCCAGTAGAATTGCTTGTCAATTCTTTCCTGTGTTAAGGGTTTGTGTCTGGTTTCCCTTCCTCCATGAAAATCAATTTCTAAATTCCAATTTGATCACGGAATGAGGGCCACAGGTTTGTCAGCCACTTGCAAAAATTTATAATTAGTGCTTATCCTTAATGGGGCACTTGGATGAAAATGGATAAAAATAATTGGAAATGACTTTCAACTTGTTTAAACGTATCTATATGGCCCCAATAGTATCCAAGCAACATATTTTCTTCACAGTAAAAAGTGTCGGATAGAAATTATCATTTTTATGCAGCATATAAATTGTGAGTAAATGACGTCATTTACTCATCAACCCTATTGTTCTTTTCTCTTTGAACCCAAAATTTCTCAGCTGCAAGTGGCTCCCAGGCGAAAATTTTCACTAATCTGGTTTACATAATCATAATTGAGTCAAATTATCCACAAATACTTCAATTATTCGCACCTTGAAAAAATGGGGTGTTTTCATCCAAGTGCCCCTTTAAACATTACAAAGATGATGATCACTAGTGCCATTTTTCAACTGCGTCTCTTGTCTTTAGGTTAATGAAACCTTACGAGAATTAAAGCTGAATGGCAACAAAATAGGTAACAAAGGTGGCATGGCTATAGCTGGTACATTACAAGTCAATACTGTACTAGAAGAACTGGATATTTCTGAGGTTGACTTGGTAAGTCTGCAGCACACACTTTGTATTAGTGCAAATGTAGGTATGGGAGAGCTACATTTGACCAGTCAATGTGACCAGTTGAGGATTGGCCTAAGCTCGATCGAGAGACATTTGTCTGGACAAGTGCCAATGTTAACTTGCCATTAAATATTTTGAGCCCTAACAGTTTAAAAAAATTTTACACGGCACATATTATGCAATGTTTTATGCATGCTTTTTCCTAAGGTATTAAAGCATTGATCTTAGAATGACCAGGATTTTTATGTGTAGTTCAAAAATTATCCATACCCCCCTCACAGAGGAATTTTTTTTAAGACACCACCCTACCCCCCGGAAATTCCAATTTTCTTCCATACGAACTCTGTAATTTTTGTTCTTTCTCTGACCCCCACACTCTTCGGAAATTCCAAATTCCTCTGTGTGGTGGGCATGGATGATTTCTGGAACTACGCAATAACTATTTCTAACTATAGGTAATTTTATAATAATATTATTATTTGATTTGTTATAGAAAACTGAAAGTGTCATTGCCATGGCAACTGTCCTTAACTACAACAACACCCTTAAAGTATTGGTTATGAACAGACCTTTGCTGTTTAGCCATCAGGTTAGCAAAGCAAGTCTATAATAGGACGTTTGCATGATGTCGTCATTTGACTACCACTACCAAGATGCTTTGCGAATTTTCTTTCTTATTTAAATTTGTATTCCCTCATGAGAATAGTAAGACAATTGGTGCTAATTAACTGAACAAAAGAAAGCGTGCAAGGGAGTCTGGTAGTAGAGGCCAATGACTCCATCGTGCAAACGTCCTATYGTTYTATTAACTATGGAGTTGGCTGTGATTTGTTACACATACTTACCCATGCAGTACTTAACAGGAGGTTAGCCCAGAGATTGTTTCAGGGTTTACTGCAGTTGTCGATATTCTGGGAACTCAGTAATCAAAAATGCACACAAAAATGCAAAAATGTTTGGTTTTTTTGCTGCTGTCCATAACAAATAACGAGTCGTATCCTTTATTTCTTGACTGGCGGCAGTAGAAATCCAATTTCACCACAGACCATTGAAATGTCTGACAGTTTGCAGAAAATCGAAAAAACAAGAGTAATAAAATTGAAGGTTGAATTAGACGACTTTATTATTTTTAAATATCCGATGATGTACAAGGTCATTGATTTTGTCTGTTGTGTTTTCAAAGGAAGAGACTACAGTCCACATAGCCAGAATGCTAAAGGTAGGAGATTTTACTTGACATTAAAAAAACCAATTCATTTGCTAGAAAAATATTGACCATGTTTTTGGCTGGAAAACACTTAATTTGTCCCAAACAAATGTGAAGGAAATGCTTGGCTGGAAAAACCTTTGACACCATAGAAATGACCTCGTTTTGGCAGGAAAAACTTTGAGTGCAGAGAACTGATTTGAGTACTTTTTTATCTAGGTCAACATAAGACTAAAGGAGATTCATCTGACACACTATGACATCAGAGATTTTGGTGCAGAAAGAATCAAAGAAAACCTCTATGAGAACCTGACGTTAACACACCTTAACCTGAGCAGGTACATGTACAGAAGGGTTATCATCCATCATACACAGTACATGATAGCTGTTATTACAGTTGCAGGGACCGCAGAGCTGGGCCTTTTTTTTTCACAAAAAACATTGACATAATTTTCTTATTGTTTTGTGTTGTGTAATATTATAGCAATAACATTACCCGTGATGGTGCTAAGCAACTGGCTATCTTATTAAAGAAGAACACTCCTCTAGAGGTACTAAACCTGGCCTATAACAGAATAGAAGATGATGGCGCTGTGGCAATAGCTGAAGCATTGGCTTCTTATAACACAAATCTAACTACGTAAGTAATGTATCTTAAATATCGTAGAAGTGCAGAGGTGCACTAGAGAAAATTATATCAATAAAGAAAGGAAAGCAGAGAGACTCTTTCAAAGATTCATAAATACAGAAATACTATTTCCTTATTTTTTGTGGTTTTCCTGTGGTATTGGTGCCTAGTAACGGTCACCTTTTTTACTAGTAAAAGTTTTCATCTGCTCCTGGAAAGATATTTATTAGGGATTATAATCTCTGTTGCCAATCAAAAGTTACAATAACTTTTGACACAGCAAATATCATGCTGTAACCTTCATTTCAGGCTTCCTCTAAGGACTAACATAGGATGCCTGCAATGCAAGCAACTGCAATAGAACATGATCTATTTCTTGTAGGCTAGTAGTATGCAGCAATAACATTGCCAGTCAAGGTCTATGTGCAATCGCCAAGGCTATGAAGCTGAACATTAGTTTGAGGGGTGTGTACATCTGGGGGAACAATCTGGAAGAACCAGCATGTAGGGTGAGAAAGATAACTACCATCTACCATTAAGGGAAAGTTGATTTTATATGCTGGGGGGAAGGGGGGATGAAGATTTCTCCTTACAAATCTCATATTGTTACACCCACTTCCTTTAGGACAAAACTTTTTGTCTAACCCCCTCCCCCAAAAAAACATTTTTAGAGCCCCCTTTACGTTCCCAAAACATTTTTGCTACCCTCCTCTCC